TGCTATCCATTTACTACATACATGTAGAAGGAGATAAATGAAAGCAAAAAAAATTACAACATAAATGAAATGAATATAGATAATTTGCATATAAATAAATAATTTTGTGCATATTTCTGTACAAATAACTTGTTCATTTCCCTCCAAAAGTATGGGTAGGTAGGGTTAACTTGAAAAAAAAAACAATTTATTGTATTTGGCCTGGATCATCTTTTGAAATTCATTCCTACAGTTAAAATTATACAAATCATGTATACAAGAATAAATTACTGGTGATGATAAATCAACTTACCTGAACTGTAAAACCTAACTTGCATGACATTATTGATTCTTAATACTTGAAATGTGACTGGAGAATACAAAGGTAACCTGCAAATATAGAACACATAGCATATGTAGTGCTAATTCTGTACTATCACATGTACTTGAAATATTGAAAATATCTGTATTTTAAGTCTTTGCAATGTACAAGGCACACAAAATTATGATGTGGTTAATAAACGCTTATCTTGCGATCATCTCATAATTTGTGCAACTTCAAAATGCATCCTTATCGAATTATACATGTACATGTATCAGCTGCATTGTCTTGGTGCACTTTCAAAGTTTCTTCACATTTTCAATCATTCCAAAGCATTGTTTTTTCAAATATGGCCTGGAAATTGGTTATCTTCAGAAAACTGAACTCTAAACTCCACTTATCTATGGCGAAATTTGATTGTAAATTAGTGCTGACAGAGCGGGCAGTTTCTGACAAAGATGATGCCTAGAATTATAGCAGAATTGTTATATGGCTATACAAGTACATGTATACTATCGCGGATTATCACATCTCACTGTTACAAATGCTGTGATTGCGACTCAGTCACATGACAATGAAAAAAAATGGATATTACATAAACAATAGTGTGTATAACAAATTGTCGTTCACTGCACTGTTGTTGTACCAGCCGCTGTTGTTTTCAAGGTTTTGAAGGAACTTTAGCAAACTCAAACAGACAATGAATAAGCCAGAATGGATATTAAGTAAGGTACCGGTACTTATATGAAGCAAATATGTACGGCAAAGCTACCACTGAAACATTGCATCAGAGTCACAGCGGTGCATTACACTGTGAGGGTACTACACTGGTTCTGGACATGCCACGTGAATGCTCGCTGAGAGCGCTCTACGTTGAGTGAGTTGTAGAACGTGTGGTATGTTCGTGAGTTGGTCATGGCATCCTTCCATTCTGACATTCTTATCTCACAAGAAGCAAAGTAACTTTAGGAAGTTCTCAATTCATTCTAATAATTTTATACACAATAAATTGAGTGATTCACAATCCTAAAAGTAACGTTTACTGTGTATTTCGCATTTGTTTTAGCAAACAACGGATGTATGCTATGGAGTAATACGTCAGGTTATAATACATGAAATAAAATATTGCATACTACAAATATAAGTATTGTTATTATGTGGGAGAGTAGGAGTGAGAGATGTATGATAGATGTGATTGTACATGGTGGATGTCTGTTCGATGTGATAAAATAAATAACACATAGTCATTCGGTTCTGGCAACATCAATATTATGGTTATGACCACTATCCCATGGGCAGCCAGGCAACAAATCGTGATATTACCCTCACAAACATTTGGTATTATTCAACTACCACCCTGGAGTAGGAATTGTATCACTATCACACGGAATTTATAAATTTATTTCCATGCTGCTACATGTACTACGTAATGTTAGAACTGCGATGCTACTACTGACGGTACAACGTGGTATGCTGCAGTTTCGTAATATAATAGTCAGCTCGGCCCGGCCGGAGCTCGATAAAGTCAGATGTGTCATGCGAACAGAACGTGATCGCCGTCGTAGTAGTTGCGACTAGGTTCACCCTGGGTGAGTCTACTTTCGACAACGGTGTACAGATAAACATACCTGGCTTTTTTGCTATAATGTGAACATCTGATGACGGACTGTCGACATGCCTGCCCTCTCCACGATTTGGAGAAATTATATGCTCGGCAAAAAGACCTGAATGAACCTGCTGATCGCTGCATCTTTCAATTATTCTTTCCGATAACCAAGTATCGGCTGCAAACACAGATTAACGTAAGCCTCGTTTTGATAACGAAGGTTCGTTTGTTGTTGGTTCCTCTTCTCAAATTAAATCAATGTATAGAGGGCGTTTCCCTGAGCGAGCAAAAGTACGCTGCACAAAAATAGAAATATTGTTATAATGTTTGTGTTTTTTTTCACATATTTTGATACATGTATCATGTTACAAGGATGAATTAGAGATGAGAATAAATTAATAATATTTGTACTCAATTCGGAGAAAATCAGTCAATGAAATAGCGAAATAGCGATGTCTAAGACTTACATACAGTCTCTTGTTTATTTTATCTGTGTGTGTGTTTTCAATAAAATTATGGGAGTGCATAAATGCTAAAAGCCGGGTAATCGTGAAAAAATGATTACACGGTAACCTAGCTTTTGCTATTTATACACTTCATTAATATCTTATTGAAAAGACATCAAAAAGTAAACAATAAACTGTCTACAAGTCTATCATGATGTTGAGCATAATAATACAATGAACAAAACGGTCATTCACTACTGAACCTTGGATCAGTGAACAACCTGTCGTACAATGTACATCAACTGACTTTCCACCAAAAACAGACAATTTACGGACAGAAAATGGTTACATAAAACAACGAGCACTTCACAAATAGGGTAATGTTGAAATTTGTGTGTCTCATGGCAAAATATTTTGTTTTTAACTGAATAAATGAAGAAACCTAAAATTCAATCGTCAACTTGAAATACCCCAAAAATATATAATTTTGCAATGAAATGCTGACAGAAAATATGTACTTTGCATTATGTGTGTTATAAACCGTAGAAGTTTATGTTTAAAGGTGAATAGAAGGCATTTTTATCGAAAGTTTACAGTTGCTAAATTGGTAGCCAAGTACGAGTAATTTACAAAAAGTTCGCTCACCCCGATCTTATCAACTTGAAATAATTGGGCGTTCTGTCATAATCGTTCCTTATGATCAATTCCACAGTAAAAATCACAGTCAACTGGAGTGAAAGTGATAATTAGATTAATTCACTGATATTTACTATATGATGACGGCAACTATTTTGAATACGACTTCAAACTAAATAGACAAGTTGAAAAACAGATTTTTCATTTTTCTGCTGAATAGGAGGTAATTAACAAACTTCCACAGACAAACGAACCTCCTGAAAGTATGACGTCAGTCTCTTCGCAGTTTCCATAATGTAACTGAAAAGAGGCGGTTTCCAGCAAGTCGTTATAATTTAGTTCTTCGGCGTAACCATCATGATGTCGACCCCCCCCCCTCATCTTCCGTACGAGATCTGGACTTGGTATTTTACGATTCATACGATACACCTGTCAGAGAATAATCTGAAAAAATAGACGAAGTTGTACAAATGGTTAACAGAATCATTTATTTATATTCCACTGCATAAAATCATGTGTACTCTACTGTAGCGTAGACGCTCAGGTGTGGTCCGCACAAGTCGGGCGCCAGCGAGATTCGAAAGACAACTGTTTAGTCAAAACCCAAGCAGTTTGTAAATTGGATGTTATTATTTTCTCCCCCCCCCCAGACTATAGACTAGATGACCGTGTCCCGGTTTTACTATTATCTATGCCGTGACCAAATAACTATAGACATGCTATCGAAAACTTGTCGATAGCAGTTAAGTGTTTTTCATCCATTCCCAAATTAGTTTGACTTTACGGCAAAATCAAGGGAATAATTGTTTCGACTGGAGTGATAGGCACAAGAACGTTAATTAATTAATGTAATGGAATTCTGCTTGGTTCTAAGTTTTGTGTTGCATATTTACTTTGGGAACATTCAGATTCTGGTTTGGGTGATTCATTGTATCCAATAAAAAATAATTTTGCTTTATTCTTACTAAAATAATTCACGGAGTTAAAACATTTTCAGAGGGCCCGGCCCGCTGGGCCGCTCAGTAATCGTTTTATTATTTTCCGAGGCACTGGCTATTCGTAAAACACTCAGCATTATGGTCAGTTCATTTCAAGTCTTGCTGATTGATTGATTTCTGAGCTGCGAAATCTTTACGGTGCAGATATCACGCAACAGTTACTATTAAAATTATCTGGCAATTGTCTTTTTCAATTTCTATGTTCAGCAATTCGTATATCTCGGTTTGAACAACTTGAATATCAAGAGCGCTAGGCAAATGTGCTCGGGTCAGTATAATACTAGAAATAATACATGAGTATTTTCCTAAAAAAAAAAAAGATATTAGTAACATTGTAGCCAAAAGGGAAAAAAATGTAAGTAAATAAATATAATGATATGTCCCAATTCAGACTTATTTTGAAAAAATAAAATTCGGTGTCATCTTGCTTTTTTAGTTTGCGTTATTTCAGGGCATTTAATTTATATCTTTAATTATTTCTTCAACAAATCAAACAATGTGTCGATTTTTTTTACACAGGCGTTATTATTTTTTAAACCGTTCTATTTTATGTTAGAGTACATAGAAACCCACAATGTCAGTTTTGCGATCAATTTTGTTGTTGAGGTAGCTGTAACATAATTTGAAACTTTGCAGGCTTGCAGGTTGCAATGAAACCCGCCCTTATGTTTTATTTGAAATTAAGATTTCTATTACATTCGTAGAAAAATATTTAACAGTTGAAGGCTTATTGGTTTCGGGCAGGTGGTTCAGTTTTCAATTGAATCAGTACACTATTAGTTTGATCATCATGGAGCTAAACAATATTCAGTGCGGTTAGTACATTTGTTTAAACCTCAGACAACTATAGATTTATTGGTTGTCTTGAAACAAACGGAACTATCATCGAGTTCAAACACCAGGAGTACAAAGGTATTAGGAGCTTAACTAGCAATAAACAATTGAAGTTGATTTTTTTCCGTCACTGCTCCTTTTTTTAGCTCCATGGTTTGATTCATGGTTTTAAACTATGTTCTTGAGGCATTACAGATACATTGGTAACGAGTTTGAATAAGTAGTGGGCAAACGTCGGTGAGTAAATATTTTCTTAACAAATCAGATAAGGAATCCTTATCATAAACGGCGAGCATAATTTTTTCTTGAAACAGACTAAGGGATGACCATTACCCACACATGCATCTATAACTTTATGTTTACTCTACCTGGGTGACTCTTCTGCCTACCCCCATTTAGTTAAAAGTGTGGGCCCTTATCTGTTTCAAGAGAAATCTTGCTATTCACGACATGGATTCTTTATCTGAGTTGGCGGACCAATAAAGTTGTGTTTACTTTTTATCAGCGCCATATTTTTTTTCTACATATTGGATTGAATAAAAGTATAATATTTCCATAAAAATCAAAATCTAAGAAACTACCAACATGTTGTTGATCTATTCGAGCATGTGGGCGTGTTTTCCGAATACTAGACCACCGGAGATAATGTGCTTGTCAACTAAATAAATTAAATATATATCGTTGCAAACTTCCTCGAATTTTTAGCAAAAGACGCCACCCGCTTAAACAGTGTGGACGAATAAAATGTTTGGGAAAGGGCTGGGAATCAATGTTTAAATGGTTTTAATATTTTCCAATTTCTCTTATCACTTGAAAATACTAACGGCACCTAGTTCCTGGATCAGTCCGAAACGCGTGGCCGTTTTCCTAATAGTCAGCTGAACTTGCAGTGGCGTTTGAATCTATGGGAGACATAATCACGAGTGTTTGTAACTATTGTGCTTTTTGTTGTTGTTGTTGTTTATAAATAGAGATACAATAGCTTTACCCGCATTGTTTGATGTCTTAGTTATACAAGTTATAATAGTTATGCTATCATATGTGTATTTATAAGTAAAACACAACAACCTATATCATTATTACGAGCACCCGTGGATAACTATCTACTGAGTAATTTGTGAACTGGACACTGGGGGCGCTGATGCTGATGAAAGTGAAAGCAAACGGTTACTAAATTTGCACTTGTGGCCATCTCACAATTAGGTGCAGTCCATGTGTACTTGTGTGTATGATGTGCTATACTGGGGCTTGGCTATAATTTCACAAAAGATCTGGTTTATTTCTGCTGAAATAGGGTGCGAAAAATGTGCTTTGACCTTTCACCTCCTCAAGCATGTTTACCAAATAAAATGGCGACCTAGCAACATGTAATATTGACATTACTTCGACG